TTGGCACTCAAAACACTTAGAATATATATCATATGTAAATGTAACTTGGCTAAACACACACACACTTAATCCATAACATTAATCTTAGACCAAGATACATACACTTATCACAAATTCATACAAGTGATATTCAAAATAATGTCATGTTCCTAAATTGGCAATATATAGTGGCAATATTCGTTACAAAACTAAAAAGAGAAAGGGAAAAGTGATACTATAACGCTCTTCACTCTTCAATTGCCCCTTCCTTCCCCTTGCTCCTATCAGAGCCTTCACTTGTAAAATATAATCACGGGGTGAGATAAACATCTCAGTAATAGAATAATTCACTATTAATAATTAACATGCACAACTATAAGAGAGTAAAACTATAAAACTTCCAAAATATACATTTAGCAAATCACCACATACTTTTTTCATTATTATATATATCTTTTATCACTAGTATGATCATTCTACCATACAAGCCTCTATATCACCCTGACTAAAATCATAAGCTCTTAGACTAAGTACGTATTCACAATGATTTGAGTTCACCTTCAGTGGAAGGATCACCCAGCCAAATGTGTCCTATTCCACTTTTAGATTACAGTTTTCCCCTATTGCACATAAGTTGAGGTGTCATTACTCCAACACTGCATCATTGATGCTAAGGAGCGTTACTCTCAAACGTCATATCCCGCATGGATACTAAGGAAAAAATCTCCAGCATCGTGCCTCACTAGATACTAAGGAGATATATGCCATATAGACTTCTATTACTCCTTCTTACGGGTGAACTCCCACCCCCTAACATGATCATGCCCATACTCAACATATATATCACATATACATTACAAATTTCTCAACTCATTCATATATATAGTTTTCATCATTCTTCATAATTTGTAGATTTTTCATGCATAAAAAAAAATCACATTTCACAATATGTAAGATTACCAAACCTCAAGTTGTTCAAATCAACATATTTATTCACAAACAGTTAGATTATATAATTAATTAATGTAAATTATTCCATTATCTCAACCTTTTGTCACACACAAAAGGGTTACCGTGGTTCAACATTAGCTCCACACGTTCTATACACACAATATAGCTCGAACAACGCTTAATCTACACAATCAAGTGACAATCATCAATTATCACTCCACTTAACTCTAAATTTACTAGATTCTAAGTGCTTATAATACCTAATTTCCTTTTTCTCACAACATCAACCATACCCGAACACTTTAACCATCCTATTAAACATTCCAACACATCAAATTCGCTAACCAATGTCCCATATTGTCTCAAAATTCTTAAATCATACTTAGGGTTCATCCGAACTGTTACCAAAAATTTTCAATCACGATAAAACTCATAAACTTAGAGTTAGAAGCTTGATTTAACTTCCTAAGATCTTAAATAAACCAATGAGTTTAGTTTAAACCTAAGGAAATCAAAATCAAAGCCCTCATTACCCCAAATGTTCAAATTTTCACATAAAAGAGGAAAAAGAGGGAAGGTGCAACTTAACCAATGGTAATTCAAGCTCCAAATGCCTTCAAAGTAACCTAGAGATTATGCCCTAGCAGACCACAAGCTTTCTTCCATCACTATCTTGTTATCCCTCTTTCTTCCTTCTATTTTTGATTTGTTTTTCACGTCTGATAATGCAGATTTTGTACGTGTGTCGCAGCACATTAACACACCCACCGCGGCACATGGCACAGAACATCTCACAAAATTTTAAACTCTCTCTCGTGTCATAGCCCGCTTAAACATCGACCTAGCCCTCTTTTAAGGTTGTTTAAGAATTTAAAAACCATATTAGTCTCCCTTAACCCTCATTAAATTAACAATTTATCTAAATTGACAAAATTGTCCCTTAAAAATACTGATAATTACTAATGAAAAAACTTAGGATGTTACATTATGGCTATCAAAATTGATTTTGAAAAATCTTATGATAGAACCAACTAGGAGTTCTTGTAGAAAGTGCTTGTAAAGATAGATTTTTCCTATCATTTCAAAGAGTTGGTGATAAAATATGTGACAATTACTACTACTTTGATTCTTTGGAATGTCTCTAAAATGGATATGTTTACCCCTTCAAGAGGTCTTGGACAGGGAGACTTTCTCTTACCTTATCTTTTTGTTCTTTGTATTTATAAACTTTCTCACATTATAATGGATGTTGTTTCTAATAATAGATGGAAACATATTAGGATGGGAAAAAGAGGAGTTCTGATCTCCCACCTTATAATGTTTGCCTTGACATTACCAGGACACCACTCACACATCGTTGTGATAACTAGAATTTAATAAAATTATCTAAAGAAGTTAGCATAACTTAATGGTTTAAAGATAATTAGTTTAAAAACATTGGGATCCCAAGAAAAACCCTTTTAAAATATTGTTTGAGCTCAAACCATGGTTAAAAATTGATTAAGAGCAAATACGGAAGCATGGGAATCAATTCACTTCGAAATAGAATAAAACAAGTTATTTTGCCCTCATCTGGTCTATCTGCTGTTGTAGAGGGCACAGAAGGATGAATCCCTCGTAGGTCTCTTGCGCTGCAGCACGCACCTGCCGTCATGACAGCAGATTGCTATCATGGCATCTCTGAACTTTCGGAGCGTGCCGTTTCACCATCTGATATCCGATTTGAGTAACTCAAGTGTCCACATGAAGCTCTTTGAGCCTTCTAGCTAATGGCATGGGTCTCATATTCAAATAATCATTCATTTAAAAGATGGATACCTGAACTTAAAATGATTTGTTTTCACAACAAAACACATACTATGGTGTCCAACTCACAATACACAATGCCATTAGCATTAAAGATGTAACACACCAAATTTTTTTTTTAAATAATTTAACTCAACCATAGTTGGGTTACAGCCACCCAACACATTTTTATATCAATAATTTCGATATAAAATATTTTATAATTGGCTCCAACTTACATACTATAACATTTCAGATAAATTTTTACCTCCCACATGCCATTAGGCTAAATCACATTTGTCCATCCTTATACTCCAACAAGTAAACTAAATCACATTTGTCCATCCTTATACTCCCAACAAGTAAAATAAGCAATTTAGTCAATTTTCAACACAAGCCAGTTATTTGGCCTTATAATCATGCCATTTTAACCAATCCAAAGTAAACCAAATATTAAAATTACAGTCATCCAAATTGTACCAAAAATAGAAATAGTTTGAAAGGCATGATTACATTTATATATTCATATAATTGACAATAAACATAAAAAAGTCCTAATATTGGCAATATAACACATTATAAATCATAAATTAAATACCCAAAAGAGACAGTGGATCTATACCACTAAGCCTCTGGGACTCCTCCACGTGTCACTCGTGGCTCTTCTCCTGAAAATTGTTAACCACATAATGAGACTCAAAAGTCCCAGTAACCAAAGCCAATTTATGATAGTGTATACAAACAGTTAAGTGTGTGCTTACTAAGTGAGAATTAAAAATAATATAATTCCAACAAATATAAGAAATATTACAATACACACAAACAACCATCCTTATATCCCTCCATTAACCTCGAGCCGTAGCCCTCACTCGGTGCTAAATTACCCGGCCAAAGGTAGATTAGCCCGAGCCCTTACAAGCCACCTATTGAGCTCCAATAGGGGCGTACCACGTGGCACATAAATACAACAATAATAGCAAGTCTCCCAATACCTCCCACAATAATTAAACAAATTCATAATAATATTGCACAATTATACAATATTACAAAATTCATAATTTTCTCAATAATCACCCAATTAACATGAAGTAACACTAATCACAAATTAAAAGCATGGTTACCTTGTGGCTTTTTCAATAAATTATTCCTTAAAATTTCTCTCTCACCACAATCTTCACCAGTAATACAATCTACAAATAACATATTATTTATAAATATTAGTTTCAATTTTTGAAACTAATAAAATAATTCTAATAATAGAATTAAAATATAACATAATTTCTAATCTCAATCTTAATACAAATCTAGAGTCAATACTATTAAGTAAAATTTTTAACTCCTCTTTTAATTATCAATAAACATTAATAATCTAAAAATCAACTTCTAAACTAATTTTTATTATCAAAATTTTCTTTTTATTTCATAAATTCGTACCTAAAATACCCAAAAATTAAAAATTAAGCCTCTAGCTTAGAATCATAATCCTATAGCAATAATAATTCATTTCTCATCCCAAATAATCATCTAAACCTCAATAAATCAACATATATTTTCAGATCTAGTTTAGAATTTGATCCATAAGCCACATATTCAAAGATCATCAATAAATTTATACTCTAGAACATTTATTATACTACTGACAACCTCAAAAATCATATTTATTCAACATAAATTCATCCCTCTTCCAGATCTTAAATTTTCTACCACTACAAACTCAGAAACCAAAGAAAAAGGATGACTAAGAAAAAATTTTAGAACACTTACTTAGTCTTGAAAAGCTTAAAATCACACCCTAAATATCCTATTAAAAACTCTTACCTTAAAAATTTAGATATTTCGCACCGGTGACTCGCGTTCTCTCCGCCTCAGCTCGCGCGCAGGAATGAATGAGGAAATGAAGGAAGGTGAGTTTTTATAAAAATTCAGTGGGTCCCACACATTTTTTTATTCTTTTCTCTCTCTTCTTTCTTTCTTCTTCTTTTTTTTATTATTATTATATTTTACTGTTGAGGCGGCGGCTGCGTTCACGTTTTCTTCCTTTCTTTCTTGTTTTTACACCTTTTTTATTATTATTATAATAATAATTTAATAATATTATTTTTTTTAATTATTTTTTTTTAAATTATTTTTTTTAAAATTTCTATTAACCCAAATTAACTATTAAAATTTATATTGGGATGTTACAAAAGATACCTTGACCACCTCAAATAGACCACACACCACATAAAAATCCATTCATATCATACAATTAAGCAATCACGCTCAAAATGATCACCAAACTTCCATTGGACAATAACATAACATGGTGAACAAAGTTCAACACATTAATCAATTGGTCATTTTGACACTCAAAACACTTGACATATATTACATGTAAGTAACTTGGCCAAGCACACCTAATCCATAACACCATTCTTGGACCAAGATATACAACTTATCACAAATTCATATAAGTGATATCCAAACAATGTCATGTTCCTAAGTTAGCAATATTTAGTGATAATATTCATTACAAAACCAAAAAAGAGAAAGGGAAGAGCTATACTACAATGCTCTTCACTCTTCAGATGCTCCTTTCTTCCCCTTACCCCTACCGGAGCCTTTACCTGTAAAATATAACCACAGGGATAAACATCTCAGTAATCAATATAGTTCATCAAATGTTTATTACCATAAATAACCATGAAAAAGTATCAAAACCATAGTAATAACAAGCATACCATAATTATGAGATATATGTATCTCTTCTCAAGAAAACATATAGTTTTATACTAATATGATCATCTAACCACCGAACCTCCAATGCTCCCTAACATGAAACTATAAGCTCTCCTGGTTCAACTACTTGTTGACCCGAGCACACTTTCAATAGTAGAAATACCTAGCCAAAGGTAATCTAACCTACCCACAGACTATGATTTTTTCCTCTTCACACACTTATGATAGAGACATTGTTGACTCCTAATCGCATCCTAACGGGTACTAGGGAGTTGCCAGACTGCCCGGATGTCTCATGGTAACAATCTCATATAATGCTGTACCAGATGTCCCATGGTGTCAGCTTGACCATATGAATTTTTCACTCACATATCTCCACACCCATAAATTTCCACATATCTCGGGGGAACTCCCACCCCCTATAATCATGCTCTTTCATAATTTTCACTACTTTTCATCACATTTTCACATCGCACTCATATACATAGTATATACATTTTAATTAGAAATAATAACTATTTATAAAATACTTTTTTATGTAAAAATCATTTACAATGTCAAATTATGCATAAAACTCTTCAAAACTATAACTTTATCATTTAAAATTACTTCTATACAGTTTCAATAATTAATAAACACAATAAACTATATGGTTACCTCAACCTTTTATCACACAAAAAGGGTTACCATGGATCAACGTTAGCTCCACACTTTTTATATGCACGATAAGGCTCGAGCAACGCTCAATTATCACTCTGAATAACTCTGAATTCACTAGGTTCTAAGTGCTTAAAATACTCAAGTTCCTTTTCTAATAATACCAACTATTTCTACATACTCTAACCATCCTATTAAACATTCTAACACACTAATTTCACTAATTAATATCCCACATTGTCTCAAAATCTTTAAATTATACTTAGGATTCGTCCAAACCCTTACCAAAAATTCTCAATCACTACAATTAAAGTTAGAAGCTTAATTTAACCTCCCAAAATCTTAAATAAACTAATGGGTTTAGTCTAAATCTAAGAAAATCAAAATCAAAGCCCCCATTAGCCTAAATATTCAGATTTTCACATAAAAAAGGAAGAAGAGGGAATGTAAAACTTACCCAATGGTGATTCAAGCTCTAAATGCCCTCAAAGTAGCCTAGAGATCGTGTCCTAGTAGACCGAAAGCTTTTCTCCATCGCTCTCTCGGTATCTCTCTTTTTTCTCTTTTGTTTTTGATCTATTTTTTCGTGTCTGATATGTGCAGATTTTGCACGTGTGCCATGACGCATTGACTCGCCCCCAGGGCATATGGCACAGAAAGCCCTATAAAATTTTAAACTCTCTTTCGTGCTATGGCCCACTTAAACCTCAACTCGGCCCTTTTATAAGGCTGTCCAAGAATCCAAAAACTATATTAATCTCCATAAGTCTCGCTAAATAACAATTTATCTAAATTGATCAAATTACCCTTAAAAATATAAATGATTACTAATGAGGAAACTTAGGATGTTACACACCTTGTATTTGTAGATGATCTCTTCCTTTTTTGTGAAGTGAGTATTAAATAGTTGAATATAGTGAAGCAATCGTTGGATATTTTTAACAATGTTTTCGGCCAAAAGGTAAGCACTAATAAGATGAGTATATTTTTTTTAATAATGTGCTTTCTCATATGCTAGTGGAAATAATTACATCAAGTAGATTTGCAAGAAGTGAGGTGCTAGGTAAATATATTGGCTCAATGGATACTAGAGGGTAAAAAAAAGTAGCAATTTAATTTCTTTATCGAAAAGGTACAGCAGAGACTAAATAGATGGAAGGCAGAGACTCTATCCCTGGCAAGACAATTGATTTTGGTCTAATCAGTAATAGCCCAAATTCCTAATTACCACATGATGCACATTAAAGTTCCAACTAGAGTTTGTAAAGAAATTAAAAAGGCTCAACGAAACTTCATTTGGAATTCTCCTAAGAAAAAAGAAGAGTTCACATACTAAGCTAGAATACCCTTTATACACTAAAAGAGCAAGGGGGTTATGGATTGCACAGGTTAGAAACCATAAATAAAGCCCTCCTGTGTAAAGTTGTCTGGAACATTTCACAAACCTAGATAACTTATGCAATTCCATTTTGTGTGGTAAGTATAAAAGGAAAATTGATCTTATTAAAGGGGCTATAACTAAGAGCCATAATTCGGTGTTTTTGAGGACTATAGTTGAGTTATAGCCCAGTGTTGTACAGTTCCTTGAGTAAGATATCAAAGATGGAAGGAGACTCTACTTTGGAAAGATAAATGGCTGCCTAATAGAGGAGCTTTAATTGATTATTGCAAATAGTGGCCTCCTGATGAGTTAATTAACATGAAAGTAATAGATGCTATAAATGTTACAGAAGAGTAGAATCTTCTACTTTTGAATAATTTTTTAAAGGATAGAGACATTAGATTACCTACTGTAACATCCTAAATTTTAATTCTTGAATTATCAAGAAATTAATCAAGTTTAATAATGAAAATTGAGTGATTTAATGTAGCAAGTGGCCATGAGGTCTAATATATGCAATCAGTAGTGATTTTAGCTCGAATTATGGGTCCAAAGTGAAGTTGGGCCACCCAAGCATCAAAAGGACGAGAAAACACGACAGAAGTGTCTCTATGCCACGTATCGTGATGTGTAACATGTTTGCTACTGTGTACAGATGACAAAAGGATAGAAGGAAATCTTTGTGTTTTGTGTCACAGCACGTGCTGTGTGTACCACAGCGCATGGTCCATTTTCTGCAATCTTAAGTCCCAAATATGATGCAAAAAATAGAGGAAAGAAAGAGGGATTGGGAGAGAAACAAAGAGGATGAAGAGGGCTTTGCTAGAGCACGACATTGGGATGGATTTAAGTGAGTTTGAAGTTTCATATCACCTAAGGTAAGTTCCTGAAGCCTTAATCTCCCTCTCCTTTTCATTATCTTGAAGTTTTTTTTATTAGGGTTTGATAATGTGAAATTTTTTTCAATTCATATAGGTTATAAGTCTAAATTCATTGACTCAAATAGAGTAATGAAAATTGTTTAGAATATTTAAATAAAGTATTAATAGTTTTAAAGGTTGTTGGATGGTAAATGTTATAAACATCTAAAAATGACATTAATGAGGGTTGTTGGAAGAGTTGTAATGCCATTAGTGAAAGTTTAATGGCTCATTAATAATATTGAAAGCTAAAGATAGATAAAAAAACCCAACGAGTAAGCCCAAATGTGAGAAATATGGACCTTGGATATTCTAAGAGTGGAAAGTGAGAGTTGAAAAATGTGTTTGACATTATTGGTGAGTTTAAAATTGATTAATTATAAATTAAGCATTTAGGCATCGTTTTGGCTTGGAAAATCAAACTTGTAAGCTAAATATTGAGGGATAAACCTTGACCTCTCAAAGGTTTGAGGTAATCGGGAGAACTCTATCTTGGGTAATTATTTGCTAATGGAATGTTAATTGTAAAATGTGTAAATTAGCTTGTATGATTTGACTTTTGAATGTGAAAGCATGTCATTAGCCTTAATAATTGCTTGAATTGTGAATGTGCATAATGTTTTATTTGACTTGAAATGTGACATTAAAGTTAAAATGATTTTTGAATTATGAACATGCATATGTTGTGGACAAGAAATGTGATATGCGTGATAGGATAAATGTTTATTGATGGGGAAATTGATGATTTGATCAAGTGGAAAATGTTTGCAAAAATAATATAGATGCTTACTTGGGTAACATATTATTGTAAGCCTAATATGCTAATAATGAATAAATGAGATTGTGAAAAGGAGTAGTTAAAACTCATATAGTATTTTTGGCTGCCTTTCAATGCATGAGGGTATAGTTTTGTCCCATATGTTGTTAAGAGACTAAAACTTACCTATCTCTACCAGTTTATGAAAGAGATTAACTTAGGGTATATGACACCCTAAAGATTTGAAAGTGAGAAAAATTGTGGTCTAAGAGGGAGTACTGTAATCTTTGACCGGGTCACACCCTATAATTGGTGAGCTTAGGTAGTGTGGTTACACAAATAGAGCCCTATTTGATGTTATAGCTTATGATTTCAATTAGAGAAAATAAGGAGGATAGAAGGATGGTTTGATCATGTATATGTATTTATATGATATGTCACATTATTAAGTTGTGGCAAGTCATGTTAATATAGGGTAGGTGTAACATCTCAATTTAAATTTTTTAGAGTTAATAAAAAATTAGGAAGAATGTTTGAAGGTAAATAAATTAATTAGGAGATTTTTTAACTTATGATATAATTTTTGTGTTAAGATTTGTTTTTACAAATTGAAAATAATAATAATAATAAGACAATATACATATATATAGAGATAGAGAGAGAGGAGAAGAGGCGGTGGAGTATTAGGAAAACAATATATATATATATATATATATAATATGATAGAGAAGTGGCAGTGGAAAGGGAGTATATTAATTGTTGATTTGGCCTTTTCTTCACTCAACGCACATGAGCGAGAGAGAGAGAGAGAGAGAGAGAGAAGCAAAGGAGAGGACAAGGAATTGAGATGATTTTGAGGTAAGATTTCATGCTCAAAACTATTTCAATTCTTAAAACTTTTTTTATAAATATTTCTCTACTCGTCTAAAGCTTTTTAATGATAATAAAATTTTGATGAGTAGAATAAATTTTAAGGTTATAACTTAAAGTAAGTATTGACTTTTAATAATGAAAACTATAAATTAGCAAAGATAAATTAAATTTTATCAGTTTAGATTTATTCTATTAACTGATTTGAGAGTTTAAAATTAAGGTTTTGCCATAAAATTTGTGATTTCTAATGTATAGGATATTTATATTGATTAAATTATGTTTTTGGGATTTAGATAAGTT